AGAAAAGGACTTAATGATTCATTTACGTGTATTATTGTTCACTGCAATACTTGTGAGCTTTATTCTTGCTGAGCTCACCTTGTGGATTCTAACTGTATAACTCACACCTTACTATTTCCTCCAGATAGTATGGATGGTGAAATAATTTTTAGCCCTATGTAGCTGCTTATGAAGTTTTTCTGACTGCTTTTCACATCAAATAGCCTTAATTTGTGGTCTGATATTTTGTTTCTTTCAGTGAAATCCTATCCAGTTCTATAGGAATGTATTGAACTGTCAACAAACATAATTCTCTGTTATGTGTTTGGAAGCAACATGGGACAGATCCTTGCCTGCTGCAAATACTCATAATTCCACTAATTTTTTTTGGCACCATTTGAGTTTAGAGCAGCTGAAGACCCTTGTGAGCATCTGTAAACAATTTGCTAACACTCACAGATTTAGTTAGTTAGTGTTAGCTAACTCCCTCACACCAGATATAAAGCGTTGAAGATACCTTCACCCTTCACTCAGTGTAGTACTGAGGCAGGTGCACCAGTGGAAGTGCCTAAAAGTTTGCCATAAACTCAACAGAGCCAGGACATCTCATAAAACAGCAGCGTCCCATGTCATCAACAGCTAGCTTTGGAAAATCTGAGTGTTAGGTAGAATGAAGACTTTGGAAACCAGGCACAAGAGCTCAGCAGAGCTGCCACAAAGCTGCTCCCAGCATTCCTTACCTCCCAAACTGCTCTTTCAGTAGTCGAATCCAATGCCCAGAAACAAATAGCCACACACAAATAAATCCTCTGACACAGCAGGAGCTAAGAAACAGAAATAGCTGTGTCTCAGTTACAAGAAGGATAGATCCTCAGCCAGCAGTGGCCCCTCAACCCAGAAGACAAATTAAATGCAGAGAGACAAACTTGAAAAAAAAGTTTGCTTGGAGAAAAAAAAAGAAAAAAGAAAAGATTGACCATCAAAAGTCAACTTAAAGAAAAATGGGTGAAAAATATACACGCACGTGTATGTACATACATCTGTAGAGTTTCAAAGTAGAAAGTGAAATAAGAAAAAAAAGAAAGAGAATTTCATGGGAAGTTTCAGCCCAATTTAAGGTCCAGTTTTTAGGGAGCCATTTTCCACAGTAGGATCAAACACAGATTTGTGATGTTCTAAAATCTTTTATTTTCCTAATTCCATATTTCCTTGATGTCTTCATGTATCTTCCACAAAGAACAGCAGGAAGCCTTGTTTTGATGGGAGATGAATCCTGATACTTGTTTTAAGTTGTCCTGAAACATAACCACATACCTGTTCAGTCTTGTCCAAGACTGTTGAAAATCTCCAACGTTACTGACAAGGGAAGAAAAATCATATAGAAGTGGGCAAAGCATCTTGTGCTTGAATCAAGACGTGGGATTGCTGTTTTCTTTCTGCTTTTGCAATGCAATTTGATGGATACGGGGCACTGTGCAGTTGTCAACATGAAAAACTGCATGTGATTTTGCACTCTCATGGCATGTAACAAATTGTGCTGGTAGAACTGGAAGGAGGACGGCTCTCTAATTAAGTATCAGGGTGAATTATTTGATGTTCTGTAGTAAAATTAGTTTTAATTAAATTTAAATTTGACAATAGAATTTAATTGTTTTACTGGCCACAGGACTGAATAGTACTTTATAAAGACATCTAATCAACAGCAGTTCTAATCCTGGAATTGGCATGTGAGAAGCATTTGTCGACATGTAATTAGGACCCAATCCAATCCTCACTGAAACAAACTTCCCATTGATTTTAATAAGAAGTACATTAAACTCTGGACACCACAGTTCACAATAACGTGCCATCTCTGCTTTTAGAATTTGGCACTAGACCAAATCCTATAATTTAGCTTGCTACAGACATAGCCATATTATATGGTACGACAGCTACAAAACAGCTGCCATCAGCTTCGAAGAATAGTAGCTTTATAAACTGGGAAATGAGTTTGTCGTGGTAGACTGTTATATAGAAGTAGATCCGAGCCCAGGAAGTGTTGCAGAAAGATAATTTTTCAGTAAAAAAACCACTGAAATGGCCTAATAAGAGTATCAGATTTAGTGACTAAACAAACATTCAGGAAACATTTCAAAGCTGCATACATGGCAATTTTAAAAAATATTCCTCATGCCCAAAGTAATCAATTTCATAGTGACCAATAGACATCAATTATTCACATCAGTGGGAGGGACAAACTTGTTTTACAATTTTCATTTAATCCACGTTTTAAAAATGGCTGATTTTAATAACTGTACCCAGTGTGCAATGCAAGTGTCTATGAAGATAGCAATTGCATTTGGGAGCTCTTTGCAGACCTTCTGTAGGTTGGCCATTCTTTCAAGCTCAGTGGTTAAGCCAGTATTTGTCATAAGCTGATGTGTGGAAATAGGTATCTGCATGAAAAATGGCTTCATTTTCTTCTAGACCACCTACAATTACATTCTAACTTCATATGTTATACCCATCTACCAAAAAAGCACGAGAGAATACTCAGGAAGCTACAAATCTGTTAGGGTAGTCTTTGGAGAAGTTTGGCCTGTGAGATATAGAAAGGCATTTAAAGATCAAAGAAATTGTCAAGCATAGTCAGTATGTGTTCATCAAGGGAAAGTCTTGCCTTAATGATTTTATCTCCTTCTGTGATAAGTTCACCTGTTTGCTGAATGAAGGGAAGGTGACGGATGCAAAATTTCTGGATTTCAGTAAGCATTTGATACCATCTCTCACAGTATCCTTCTGGACAAGTTGTCCAACTGTGAGACAGATTGGTTCATGCTACACTGCACAAATGAACTGTCTCAACAGTAGAGCTCAAAGTGTTGTAGTACATGGAACTATGTATGGGTGGATGATGGTCACCAGGGGTCAATTCTGGGGCAAGTTTAGTGATGATACAAAACTGGGAGATGTTGCTTACTATGGAGGGAGAAGCGGCCTTGCAGAGGGACCTAGCTATGATGAAGCATTGGGCAACAAGCAATGGTATGAAGTTCAACAGAACTGTGCCAGAGTCAGGTCTGGTGCAAGGAAAAACTGCCCACTTAATGCTAATACTATTCAGTGATACTTTGGCATATGTCCTCTCAACATTAAGATGGGAATTGTGGAGATAGCTGCCACCGTGCATCCCAACAGCCACACAGACGGACACTCTTCTCATCAACAGAAAAGCTTTGCAGTGCAGACGTCTACATCTGTGCCAGCTGTCAAGGCTTTTTTTACAGCCAGTGGGAAGAAATGGGCACTTTTAGGCTGTGATTCATCTCACCCTGCTGTAGATAGCTAAAATAAGACAGATGAACTATAAAATAAGACAGTTTTAAAACTGTGTAGTGATCTAAAAGAAATGGACAGTGACTGGCTTTGATATGGACATTCATACTGTAGATGTACACAACTAAATGAGATTAATCTTGCTCTTCTAAAGGGACTTGACCTCTGATACTAAGCACTGCAAGATTATTATGTAAAATCAAGTCTAATATGTTTTGTGCAGGGAAAAGATTTTAATTTACTTTCTGTCCTAATGACCTGTTGTATGTCTGAGCTGGTACTGAAGTCTCCCTTATGGTAATGAGGTGAATTTTTGAGGTCATAAGACAAAGTGCATTATTAATTCATCACTTGTAAAAATTTTCCCTGTAAATAAGGATAATACTCACAATCCCTCCCTCCCTGTCTCTTTAATGACTTATTTGTCAAAACCTCAATTCATTTAAATCATTTACCTGTTCCAGTGAATGAGTAATACATGTAAAATTATCATTTTAGCCTTATCTTGGCATATGGTGAATGATGACTAATGTGTTCTCATATTTGTGCATCCAGAGAAGAGTAATGAAGCTGTGAAGGGTCTGGAGAGCAAATCTCATGGGAAGTGGCTGAAGGAACTGGGACTGTTTAGTCTGGAGAAGAGGAGGCTCAGGGGAGAACTTACAGCTATCTACAACTGCCTGAAAGGAGGCTGTGGCGAGGTGGGGGTTGGCCTTTTCTCCCAGGTAACCATGATAGGATGAGAGGTAATGGTCTCAAGTTGCGCTGCGAGGTGTTCAGGTTGGATATTAGGAACAGCTTCTCAAAAAGACTGGTAATGCATTGGCACAAGCTGCCCAGGGAGGTAGTGGTGTCGCTGTCCCTGGAGGTGTTCAAGAAACGTGGAGATGTAGTATGTAGGGGCATGGTTCAGGGGGCAACATGGGTGATGTTATTGGTGGATGCTTGGACTAGATGATCTTGGAGGTCTTTTCCAACCTTAATCATTCTATGATGCTACGATTATAGTCATGGTGCAGGAAAAAAAAATGTTTATGCTGACTTCAAATAGACTCTGAGAAAGTTTAGAGAAGGTAGGGTGTTTCTGTGCTGTCATTTTGTTACTTCTGTAATGAGGTATAGAGTCAGTCTGGGAAAAATGGCATACCTGAGTATACACAAATGGAAAACTTTTCTCAAATTTGTTTTTTCCATGATGGTACTGGCAAATAAAAATACTGCACATTGGAAAAATAAACAAGATTGATGTTCTTGAGCCATTTGAAATTTGTTTGGAAATAAAACCCTTTTGCTAAGGACAACCATGTCCCAGTCTCTTGCAAAATCCTGGAGTGGATAGATTTGTGATTACTGATAGCTGATAAGAATTTTAATTGAATAATGGATTGTCATGTTCAAGTACACTGGCTGAAGTGTTTCCTATGCATATTACAGTCAGGTTGCTTACAGCACATCTTGAAAATAATTGTGCTATTTGTGGGAAGAGTTATTTATCTACTGGTGGATTTGTCTGTGTAGGCTCTATGACTAAATGAACAAGTGTGCTCAAGTGAGTTAAAATGGTGTGTACTTCTGAGATTCATAGATGGAAGATATTGAGCATGAAAATGGGCTTCAGCCACATTTGTCTCTCACTGTCACTGCAAATATGCTCCATGTTGTGGGTGATGCTGCATTGCTCATGAGGACTCATCTTGTCTCTCTAGGACTTGGGCACTTCCCCTGCAGACATCTGAAGAACCTGTGTCCTGTGCACGAGAAATGGGGTACAGCTAAATGAGCTTTGCAGAGGTTACATGGTATCTTTAACAGACCTGCCTCCCTCCTGCTTGTCTGAGAAGAAAAATTTATGGGAACTCAAATATTAGTCACTTCTGATGCCGACTCTATGAATCAATTTGAAGTGTGATTGAAAGAGTGCTCACAGAGAAGGGAGCAGAAAGATGTAATTATTAGATAATAAAGCTGAAAAGACTGTCTGATTCTGTGTAGCACAGGTCACAGGTCTTCCCTGGATTAATTTTTACTTGAACTTCAGCATCTCTTTTTGAAAGCCATCCAATGTTGATTTATAAGTTTATAGTCCTGGAAAATCTTGCGGACATCTTCATGGTGTGCCATTGATTAAACATCTTTGCTATTAAAAAAAAAAGAAAAAGAAGAGCATAATTTTATTTTTGATCCTTGTCTCCAACGTTTAATCTCTCTGCCTCAGTTGGCAAAATGAGGAAAATCTATGGAGAAATGGAGAATACTGTAAGGGTAAACATGTTAAAAGACTGGAAATAGTCCATGTGTAGATGTAAAGGAGACCATGGTTTTACGTGAGATAGACATTTTGGCTGGTAGCTGTGCAAAGAAAGGATTTCCATGTCACACTTCCACCTGGGAATCTCTGAAGTCCAGAGCTTTTTTTTGAACCATTGTGACCCTCTGATCAACTTCAAAGAAAGAACATAACCACTGCCTGCTTATCTACATGGCTTATTTGGGGTTTGCTCTATGCCTCTCTGAAGTCAGAATTAATGCAGCCTTCAAAATGGGTTTGAATAATTCATTTATTGATTCTCTTTGATGAAGCTCTGTTTCTCCTACTATGAAAAAAGGGCTGTAATATTTAATAGAGATTATTTTTTTTAATAACCCAACATTGTATTTTCCAATTGAAATTCTAGAACTGAATCTGAAAAAGAGGTGCATTAGACAACTAGATGCTAAAAGTTCTCAGAAGGGAAAAGTTTGGTGGGAAAAAAAAGGAATTATTTTAAACAGGAAGACATTAGTATGGAGGTGGTAAAGATCTAGCATGAATGGAGACTGGCAATTAAGATAATTTCTTGTTTTTTCCTCTTCAATTTTCATTCTGAAGGAAATGCTGCTTTTATAGCTTTTAGCTCAGCTGTTCTATTTATCTGGATTGTGCTGCAGTGACAAAAATAAGGAAAAGGATGTTTTGCTTTTTTCTTTTTTTGCCAACTCTTTTACTTGTTGTGAAAAAAATAGACTGATTATGAAGTGGAATGAATTATTGATTTTTGGATTCTCAGGACTATCAAAAAGCAAGCCTTTGTGCTATTTCTTGTTGTACATATACAACAAATGAGTATTGAGAGTTTTTTTATGAAGAAGCTTTATGGTCTCCTATGCTCTCACACACATCTGATATCCTGCCCACTCTTTTTAATCCCTATTGCTTACTCATGAAAAGTCCTGTCTTTCTTTAATAGGAGCATCTCCTGGGAGTGGACTTGAGAATGATAGTCTGTCTTTTTGTTCAACTCTCTGTTGGAGTCCACTTGATGTGTATTGCAATATTAATACTATGCCATCAAAATTTGTCAATCCAAAGAGAGCAGGTGTGACTCACTGGAAAATATCTCCATCAGAAAGAGACTTTCCCAACTGCTTATCTGAGTGCGTGGAAAGATAAATGCTACGGTTCAGACTTTCCCTCCAGAGAGAGACTGTTCTTCAGGAAAAGTCAAAACAGACACATGCTCAAGTAGGCTCAACAGATTTTACAAGATATGACATAAACGACAAAGAATTTCTAGCAGTGGTTCTCTGTAGATGGATTTATGAAAGATTGAGGGCTTGAGGATTAAACTCTCTGTTGGCTGGGGTGAGACAACCTGATTATCCAGTCCAGCTGGAAAAGAGACGAGCAGCAAAGTCCATCTCAAGAAAATTAATCTAGTTCAATGCTGTCTTCAGCTGGCAGCGTCTGGGTGACACTGAACATAAACACTCATGGGTTGTGACTTGCATTGACATCCTTAAGAGAACCACAGGACGTGAAGAAAATGGTACTGTGTGTTATATCCATCACTGCAGAAAATGAACAAAGTGAACAAAAAGTAAATTAAAGGAATGGTTTCGTATAGCAGAGAACTATGCAACTATAGGCTGTTAGGAAGATGCAGCCAGTAAGTATAATGAAGACTAATGTTATCTTTAACCTAATTAAGTATTTTTTATATGAAAGTACTTTGGCAGAAATTTTCCTTCCTAAAATTGTGTTCTGTAGTCCACACTCTGCTGTTTTTTATTTTGCATTTTTTCTGAAAATCATGCAGCCAAACAGATCTTTGCTGGCATATTGAAGACTCATGGAGAGAAGCAAGGAGCACGAAGGATAAGATGGGAAAAATTATGTGAGTAGAAATAAATGGAGAAAAATTCTGTGTAATGGCATTTTAAAAAGATGCAGATGAAACTTGGCTTCAGATGACATACTTTATTTTTTTTAAAGCAAAACCACTCTGAAAAACAAGATGATAATTATCTGTGCTATTTTTTATTTGTCACCTGACAGAATGTCTGAAGTATAATTAGTTTGTGGATACAGAACTAGAAGATGCTAAGGAGCAACACACTTTCTTAAAAGTAATGCTAAACATCATTTCTTGAATATCTTTGCATACTTCTTTCTATCATGACATGGGGCAAAACTGACATAGGTCAATATCAGAAATGATCATAAAAATTCTTGCCTAATTTTTGTTCTGAGTAGTTCTGCTGGCTTCTGTGTGGCTGTCCACAGTGGTTGAAGGCAGAAAATCTGTTATCCTGCACCAACCCTTGCAGCCTTTTAAAAACATATGAAATTTGCAGGATCTGTCAAACAGGAACTCTGTGTATAGTCCCTGAAGTTCTACATTGAGCTTTCTAGAGTGGAAAATAGGAACTGTAATTCTGAGGATTGTCCATGGAGGCTGCTTAAGAGTAGTACCATCATGGTAATGCAATCTGGATATATGAAGGAAGTGGTACTGCATGTTAAATTTATCACCACAGACACTGAACTATTATTTTCTCTGGCTTATTTCCACGATGACAGTAATAAAGGTAATGTGCATGGTCCTGCAAATCCTGCCTTAGTCTGTCCCTCTCTGTTCCAGGGGACAGGGCATTCCTTCATTCCTTTTGACATGTTTGTATTTGCCATTGCCCCATAGGAAATGAAGAACTGCAGATTGATGGAAGGGCTGACCTGCTTTTGGGTAAGCTTATAAATTTTAAAATGATCAGAGCTGCTATTGTTTTGGGCAGCTTGGATAACTCTAAGTACCATCATACCATCAAGCCCCATGTTTTCATTTGCAACTGCTGGAACTAGACTGTCCTAATGATGTGGAAAAGGGAAAAGGCCCCAGGCTAACTTATGGTATAGCAACAGGGAATTGTAATGCACAGGATTTCCTGAATGTGCTTATCTGTGGAGAACGATGTGAAACAGCTATAATGAGTAATTTGTCTTCTGAAAATGATTTACAGGCCTTAATTAGAATGGTTTGCTCTTACCTACTGCTCTTCACCAATGAGCCCCAAAGTGCCCAATGAAAAAACATTGGTATTATTATGCCCATCTTGTAGTATATGATGTATGCACTATATACTGCAGGTATCAGGATATGGGTCTTATATGAGCTGGAGTTTGTAATTTCTTTAGCTGGAGCACGGGACTGTATTGCTTAGGAGAACTGAGTCCAGCATTATTTAACAAAGGCCAGAGGCACGTCACAAGCTGCTTTAAGTTTATGATCAAAATTTCCTGGTTTTCAACCCTTTGCTCATTCCATTCAACCATACTGGCTCTCTGAAGTGCTAGCGGTGCGGAAGGAAGAAGATGCTTTATGATCCTTGATGACTATAAAGTAGCAAATAAAGCTCTAGGGTGCTTTCAAGCTCACAGTGATCTCGTGGGGTGGAAAATTAATCATGCTGCAGCTACTGGAGAATATATTTTTTTTACATTAGCTGCTTGGGTCTTTTTCCAAACCAGAAGATGATAAAGCGCTTCCCACTACTGGATGAAGACAAAAGAAATTGTCATCAACACAAGCAGTAAAATAAGCTGAATAAGCTTGTTTGGACTCCTGGTTACTAATCTAATCCTTTTACAATCATATTTTTGGCACTAGAAATAAGAACTATTTGCAAAACAAACATTTTTTTTTTGTAATGTCCCAGTCATACTGTTGCAAATGTTGGATCTCATATCTTTGATCTGGTCTTTCAAACTCCAGTAACAGCCAATCTCTACTTACTACAGACTGTTGGTATATTCTGTGTAAATCTATAGGCAGTTAAACTTTTGGAAAGCACTTATAAATCGTTCCCTGCAGTCAATGTGTATTAGATACCGCTGAAAAAAAGCACAGACAGTGGTTTGAGGTTTCTTGAGACTCCCAATATTCCTGATGAAAAAAATCTTAGCTTTATTTTTTCCACTGCTATTTTGCAGACCAATTTTCTTACACCAGAGATCTTTCCTGAGACCTCTATTATACTGCAAGTATGGGGTCCCACTGGGGTCCCAAACTGTCTATGTGCAAGGTAATTCACAAATGCTTGAGATTTTATTTTCCTGCTGAAAGCTTGTTCTTATCTAGACGAGGCCATTTGGGATTTCCGGCATGGTTACAGTCTCCTTGTAAGCTGATCATTCCCCTTTTCACAAGCTGCAGCAGCCTATGAGCAATGGGATTTCATATGCTCTGAGCAAGGTCAAGCTTAGCATTTTCCACCCCAGTGTCATTACATCACTGCAGCACAGATGAAAAATGGAAATCATGCTTTTATTACAGCAAAGCCAGCTCTCCAGTTTTGCATTGCTGCCAGCCTTTCATCATCATACTGTACCTCGACCATCTTCTTATAACCTAGGTCAAAACCTAAGACTGAACTTGGAAGGGCAGATAACTTCTTGACTAGCACTTGTCTTTAACATCACTGAAGGGTTTTCCTTAAGAAAAAGTGGAGCCCTGTTGCAAAACTATTTGTATTTACCTGTTCCTTGAATTCCAGCAGTAGAAAGATCTTTCTATCCTAATTAAAATACTAGGAGTGATGCTGAATAGGAACCAGTTTTCTCTTTTAATTTCAATTTGTCAGTCTCAAGAAGGTGCTGCGCATCAGCTGTGGCACCAGACCACAGGCTCTACTAAGGGGAAAACTGGAACTTCAGTAAGAACAACTTACGGTGAGAGAAAACATGTATTCACAAAATGGGGCACATCAAAAAAAGCAAGACTTGGAAAAACCTGTTGGTCATCATTAGGTTTTTCAGCTCACCTAGTGCAAAGCTCTAGTATTTGTGATTGTGCTGTGGAGTTGTGTGCTGAAATAAGGAATGGTTGTGAGGGTCGGCACTATCCGAGTCACAGCAGTTCCTATGAACTACTTTGCCTTGCAGCCAGATGTTTCCTGACACAACTGACCACAATCCTTGTTAGACCACTATCCAACCACTAATTTAATTAAGGCTCTGTAAGAACCTCAGTAAGATGAAACAATGGAATCATAAGAAAAGTCATTTTTTTTAAAGATAAATTTAAGGTTTAGTAATATATCTATGCAGAACAAGAACTTAGGATGAAACCAGCGAAGTGGAATCACCATTCCTGGTGCTGTTCAAGAAACGTGGGAGTGTGACATTGACAGACATGGTTAGTGGGCATGGTTAGTGGGGATGGGTTGACAGTTGGACTTGATGATCTTAGAGATCTTTTCTAACCTTAATGATTCTATGATTCTATGACTTTCTTACAGACTTCTTTGTGAAAACTAGTAAAAGCAGTTCAAATTGTCTAAAATGTTATGGAGCTCTCTTAAATGCTACTGCAGGGATTATTTTCACTATATATACAATCACAGAATCACCAAGGTTGAAAAAGACCTCCGAGATCATCTAATCTGACCATCCATCTATCACCATTTCCTCTCTAAACCATGTCTCTTATTACAAAATCTGAATGTTTATTGAACAACTCCAGGGCAGTCTGTCTAGTCTGGCAGTCCCTGGGCAGTCTGTCACAGCTCCTGATCACTCTTCTGGAGTCCAACCTGGACCTCCCCTGGCACTACTTGAGGCCATTACCTCTCATCCTGTTGCTGTTACCTGTGAGCAGAGGCTGAGTCCCACCTCACCACAAAGTCCTTTCAGGGAGTTGTAGAAAGCAATAAGGTTTTCTCACAGCTCCAGTTTTCGAAGGCTGAACAATCCCCACCCCCTCAGCTACTCTCTGTGAGATTTGTGCTCCACACCCCTCACAGCTTCATTGCCTTTCTCCAGACATGCTTCAGGGCATTGATGGCTTGTAGTTCAATGGGTAGAAAGAAAGAACAGAAGCCTTATCTGCCCCAGTCCATGCTTACTTGGACATAATCTTTCATTGAAGTATCTAACTCAGTAAGTATTACAAACCAGATGGAGCAACTCTGGGCTTCGTCTACTTGAGAAAATGTGGTTGCTTATTTAGCAGATGTGTTGCAGCTTGGATTTGTGTTGAGGTAGGCGTCCAGCTGTGCACAGCCTTGAACAGTTTCCAGTTCTCCCTAGGAAGTTGTGCCCCACTTACCAGTGTTTCCACAGAAAAACAGATGTAATTGGGCAGCCATTAATGGGGAGGAAAGGAGCCCCAAGTAGTGCAAAACAATACTCAGTCTGTTTAATGCAATGCAGGTTGCAGTGTGGAGGATGAAACCCTCAAGTGTCACCTGTGGTGTCTTCTGTTGCTAGCTGTCGTAATGACTATTTATAAAAAAACAAAAACAAAAACAAAAACAAAGAGAACCAACAAAAACAGGTTTCTATGTTTCTGTAATTTTCTAATCTGTGATAGAAAATCTTATGCATGTATAAAAAATGTTCCTCACTAAGCATGGGTAAATTTATGGACTCTTGTGCAATACTCAGTCCCATTTTGGATGCAAATCAATGTTTTTTCTGCTGTCATTAAGTGAACTTTCTGAAGCATGAGGAGTACAAAAGACCTCTAGGACTGAAGAGGAACTTAGCAACATGAGGATGGGTGGTTAAATATTACATAATTCTGTGGAAAATATTTGTTTTTCTTGAAAAGTCTTATATAAACTCTTATCATCACCTTGACCTCTACAGTCGACAGTTATAGCTGCTTTGCCTCCAGATATTTACTGCAAAATGCAGTGATACTATGATCTGAAGCACAGGGCACAAGTATGAACTGCTGTTGTTCTGGTCCCATCCCTGTGGTATTTGTCTGATTTAGGGAGATTTAAATTGGATATATGGAAAAAGTTTCTTACAGTTGGAGTGGTGAGGCACTGGTACAGGCTGCCCAGAGTGGAGGTTGTTGACCCATCCCTGGAGACATTCAAGGTCAGGCTGGACGGGGCCTCTGAGCACCTGATGGAGCTGTAGGTGTCCCTGTTTAATGCAGGGGAGTTGGACGAGGTGGCCTTAAGAGTTGCTTTCTATTCAAACGATTCTATGATTCTCTTCCCTTTACAATCTACAGATGTTAAATAATGCTGAAGATAGGATTGTGGTTAAATGTAGTTTGTCACTGAGGGCTCTGGAGAACTAAGAGGAAGGATGTGAGACACTGCAAGACGTCTTTTTAATTTTTGCTGTCTCCTGGCGAAGTAAAGTATAATGCCAGTAAATAGCAAGATTCTGCAGTAATTTGTCCTTCAGTGACACAGAACTCCTTTAAAGTTGCTCAACGTGCCATTTTATTTCTCATGTTCTTGTGATACTATATTGAATTGTTTCCTCCCCACTTACAATTAATGCAAGATGAATCTTCCTTCAAAAGACATTTTAGAAACTGGGCACCCATTTCTCAGACATTTTCCATGTCAGCTGGCACCAAATTTACTTAGGCAGTTCTTGAAATCTCACCCATAGAATTTAATTGTTAACTGAAGAGTCCTCACTGGAAAATATGATTAATTCAAATGTTACCAGCAATAAAAATTACGTTGTTATGCCTGTGACGTGCACTGTTGATTCATAATAATAATGGCACGTTGCACCTAGGTAGCACTTTTTGTCTGAACTGGAGGATCAGAGTCAGTATTTCCATTTTGTGAGTGTTTCATATAAATCTCTGCATTTGTCATTGACAAATGAAAGAGTTTCAGAAATGTTTTCCCTATCATTTGTCTCTTGGAACATAAACCAAACAAGGAAAGTTCGTATTGTATCACAAGGAGTAGGAAAAAAACGAGTTTGTTGGCTGGGAGAACTTAGTAATGGCAGAGTGATGAAATAGCTGGGGGACACGCTGGGCCCCACACTAAGTACAGTGGAAGGCATGCAGTCAGTATGTGAATAGAAACACCCTCAGTCGTTCCTGGGGCACTGCATTGCACATCACAGTCTGCCCCTCGCCTTGTCAGTGCTATGGTAAATAGATATTATGGTTTTACATCTGTACTCTGAATGCATTCACTCAAAATCAGCATGTAGCAGTGAATCACTGTGACATGATGTTCCTTTTTCAAGCACAGCGAGAAAGATATTTTCCAGATAGAGTTCAGCTTATTTTCTTTTATGCGTGATGGGAACCACACTTGGTATTTACAGACTTTTAAAAATTTCCTTGCAACCACAGCTATTCAGGCTTTCATTACATGTGAATTAAATGTGTCTCACAAACTCCTTTGTCAGCAAGACAGCAGGTAAAAGGCAAATAAGTGCAGGAGCAGCTTGCTGAGAGATGGTGTGAAGCACTTCCTATGCTCCATTTTCTCCTCTCAGAATAGGAAAAACACAGTTACAGAAGGTCACAAGTAAGATTTTTGTTCCAGGTTATTCTATATGTTAAATTTAATATAACAATCTGAAAACCTTTGCTTCAGGCATTACATAATCAATTCCAACACATAATTTAATATGCAGTGCAAACAGAACTGGTTGTGCTGGGAGGTGTGCAGATGCACAGTCCAAAGAGACATAACACACAATCTGGGAGGGAGGCAGGGTAATACGCTTCATCACTGGGAACTGTATAGAAAAGTGATTACAAACTCATGCCTTAAAGTGAAAGAAATTTCCCAACAGTTCTGGCAGATGTGGTTTGCTTCTCCTTCTGCTCCAGGCTTCTAATGTAAAAAAGAAAAAGTTATGTCACAGAAGTAAAAGCTACAAGAAAACCACAAAATACAATAAAAAAAATACATATAATTAATAACATATCAGTGAATGGCTGCTCTGTGGTTTCTGTAATGTGGACTCCATAGAAGAATGCAGTGTGTGGGTCCTTAGATGTAGCTGTAACTCTGGAACCCGTTTTCCTGACTCCAGCATTGTGTCCTCGGGGCAGAAGAGATTCTTCCCAAGGATGGTTTAAAAATATTAAACAGAGTTTTTCCATGAGATGATGTGCAAAAATTCTCTTCAATAAAATGTGCAAAGAGCTCATGATGGCACGCTCTTACTGAAATAAACCCCAGCAACAACAGCCAAACATGGCTACAGAGAGAGCTGTGAAATGAAACTCTTCAGAGGCCCAGAAAAATAAAATCATTCAATGATTAATGGGTTATGTGAGCCTTAGCATCTCACCATGAATTTGTATTACATCTGAGATTTCAAAAGACTACTGCCATTCTTACACTGACTGTATAGTTTTAAATCTCTTTTCTTATCTTCTTCAGGTTGGATATTAGGAAAAACTTATTCTCCAAAAGAGTGGTAATGCATTGGCACAGGCTGCCCAGGGAGGTGGTGGCGTCACCATCCCTGGAGCTGTTGAAGAACCGTGGAGATGTGACAAGGAATGAGCAGGTAAGAGTAGCAACATCTTGAATCAACATATATCTGATTTTTATCTTCTGGGTGCACAATATAGGCTCTTTCAAAGCAGGCTCTGATGTAGCTGTAGCAATGCATAAACATGCATGAAATGTATGAAGGAACACAAAAATAGGTAGGCAGTATGGATGTTGGAAGACTTTGGCCATCGTCTTTGACGCTGCCCTTACACTTACTGCCCTACTGCCAAAAAGGCAGGTGTAGCCAAATATCTTTATTTGCTTAAATACACTGGAAAGGAAGGAATTCTCTGATTTTGATTGTTTTCTCTTGAGCTACTTTGATAATCAGCCCATGATTGGAAGACTGGGAGGGGAATGAAAATTGCCTGTTTTTTAACTGGAGGTGGAAAATTGTTTTGAATAAGTTTCAATGTAAGGAAGAGAGATTCTGTGGGATGTGATGTCAGGCTACTGTTCTAGGAGATCATGTATTTAATGCTCTGCAAATATTGCCTTACCCTGTTTGACAGTAGACCCTGAAAAGATCCCAAGATCTTATTAACAAGCAAAAAAACCCAAATATAAGTTAGCTTAACTTGAAAATAAAACTATACAAAACAAAAACTAATATTCTTTTTTATTTCTCCTAGTATTCCTGGACGCAAAAAGGGAGAATAATTGACTTTCAGGCTGTATGTTACAAATCCACTTTTGTGATTTTAGTGGTGCCTGTGACAAGAAAGGAAATGTGGGAAAGGGAGCTGGCTCCAGGAAGGAGGTACTGTTGGGTAGATACTTTCTACCTGGAAAGCACATTATTATATGGGTGGATACAGCTAGAACTTTTGGAATAAAATATGAAAACAATCTAGTTTTATTCCGAGCTTGCCCTTCTTTTGGAATATTTATTTATTTCTTCTGATTTTTCCAGTGCAGTGATTCCCTAGTGGGTTGGTTGGTGGTTTTTTTTTCACTTTTTCTTTGTGTGCGTGTGTCTATTTGTCTCCCTCCCACCCACGACTCGTTGTTCTGAACATAAGATTTGCATATCTCTCTTCTGAATATAACCAATATAACCAGTGCTTTGTAAGACTGACTGAGAAGACCTCTCTTTCTTAGAACATTCCCTAATTTTCTTGGTGTACGCTCCAAAATCCTGTGTGAATTGGAAATTGTCTTTGCATTCCTTTGCCTCTACCACTAGAGCATGTGCTGCATGAACTTTGGCTGAGAACTGTGGTTGTGGTTGCTCAGGCACATATCACTGTTTTCTCTTTGTCTCAGTTAATTTTGCATCTTCCGGTACCTTTCTCTGCTCATCTAAAAGAGTCTTTTCCAGTTCAAAACAAGCAGTGTTGTGCAATTTGTTGAGAGCTGATTTTTGGGTGTTTGGAGGGGGTGGGAATGGTTTCACAACCTGGACTAGAACCAAACATGCATAGCTTTTACCTTTCTGACCCATTTGCTCACATGCTTCCTGTTTCCTTTATTGCAAAAGTTAATCTCATTAGAAAAAAATACCACAAACTCTCTTAAAAATAAAACAAATGTTTCCGATCCTGTTGTTTGTTGTATGTGAGTGGGTATTTCATGCAGAGCTAGAGAATTGAAATGTCTTGTAAGAAGCCTGGTGTTTTGGAAAGAAAAAAATGGAGGAGAAAATGTGTATCTGCTTTGCATAGCAAACAGTTCACAAAATGCTGTATTTATGGATGCAGAAGCAAAGAAAACTTCATCTAGATCGCGGTTATGGGTCTTCAGTGTTCTCCACACCAGCAAACACTTCTGGTTTTCTGCAATGACCTTGAACTCTGTCAGTTCTGCCCTTCCTGCAACAAATTTTACCGAGTGCAGGAAGTCATCAGTGGCTCTTAACATGGCTTTTATGGCTAAGCACACGCTTTTCTAGGGGAACACGAGAGTGGGGAGTGTTTCGGATGCTTGAACTCTGTGACATTTTCCTCAACTTGTGCAATCTTTTGCTCAATATTTGATAATCTGCTGTTTTCATCAGCTGTCAGTTACAAGAATTTGCTATGGGATTTTCACAAATAAACAGCAGTAACTGGGAGACGTGAAAAAGGACTGTGTGCAGCCCTTGCCTATAAATTCCTTTAAATTTCCTTAAGATTTCCACCAGTAGACTTTTGTGTGCAGAGAAAGCCACAAGCAATATAATCAATCATTTGGTGAATGTGGTTTTCTGAAACAGCTGCGTATCTGGATAAGCTGCTTGATAAGTTACCAAAGACAGCTTATGGGTGGTGCTTGTGCTCTCTGCACATTGTGCGAAGTGCTGTTCAAACTGCCCTTGACTCCCAGCCAACAGATGGGAAAGTCATTAGCAATCAGATTTGAACAACAGTTGCTTTCTGTGTTTACAAAGTTCTGTACATGATCTGTATGTTGACAAGTTATAAACTGGGTGGAAAATGTCTGACATCTCCTCTCTGCAATTTCTGTAAAAAATTGCAGCAATCAACACGCAGCTGAGGGCTCCAGCAACCAGCTGAAAAAGGACTCGATGTGATAAAAGGGCAGGACCATTAGGAACAGCAGTGCAAGGCCAGTTTGCCACTAGAACACAAAGTTCACCCAAAATCACGAGCATTTCTTGTGCTGTGGCTGGAGTCAATAATCTCAGTACGAACAAGAGGAGTGCTCCAGGTACATAAACCTGAGCAGTCTTTAGGCAGGTCTAGTTTATGCATCCATAGCAAATAATCTGAGCTGTGCTCAGCCCTGGCAGAGCTGCTGGAGTAATAATTTCTCAAAAGTAAACTGCAGCAGAAAATCTCTAGAAAGCATTCTGCATAACCGGTACGTAATTGACATCAAGCGTGGCATTATCCTCTTTTTGTTCTTATTAACTAGATTCCTCAAGACATAAACACATGATCGAGCTAATCCTAGTATTCAAGAGTTTATATTAGGGATGAAATTAGTTCATTATATTTAATTTATGGGTAAAGAATCTCCATTAGTTTGTAATGTTTCCCTGTGCTGTAATAACGCTCTCTGCTTTCCCAGCTACCGTCCAGGAGCAATTTGTGCAGAACCAACATTTTGTCAAGGCACCTGAGGGCTGGGTTGGTAGAAGGAAATCCGTTCCAATATGAATTATTTCCTTAGTAGGCGTTACAGGTTATTGATTTATTTACTTATTGTAATCACAGTATTGCAAATATATATTTTTTAATTGTTCTTTACCAAATCAGCAGGAGGGGGGATTTTTCAAAGAGTCAAATAGGCTCTGGTGGTCAGCTCATAATTTTCAGCATGATTCAAATGCCTCTTTGTTCCCTTGCATTTTGTTTTGCTAAGTTGCAGTAACCACAGATGTGTGTGTCCCAGCCCTTTCCCCTGTCCTAGACCCCCCCAGGAGGATTATTTGTGAAATAGACAGCAGAATGGTTAGCTGAGGGAGGTGAAGTTTGGATACGTGTGTTTCAGACATGTAACCTGGCTTTAAATTCTTACTGAATTAAAGAATCAATTCAGCCCACTCATAAAGTGATCACAGGCTGTAAAATGTAGAAAGTAGCAATGAGCTTGACATTCCTTCTGATGGGTCAGTGGATAGACTAGATGATGTTAGTGGTCTTTTCCAACCTTACTGATTTTATGATTCTATTCTATCATTCTGTGACATCAAAGGAGCTGGTGACACAACAGTCAAACAAAAACCAGCAACAGCTGTGGTATTATAAAAGGAAAGATGTATGTGTAAAATCATTTTCCACTTATAAAAGTAAAATAAAACACTAGGCAAATGATTGCTAGAAAATTTTATCCTGATTCTTCTGCTGAGGTCAGTCTGTATTTACCTACTTGACAGATGTTGAAGCTCTTGATTAGAAATAATCCATCTTTTCTCTCCCCATAAATATACATAGGCAAATATGCATGGACCTACCTACCTGCATGAAAGGGTTTGAGAGCATAGGCATTTAGTTACTGAATTGGCCTCCACCAAATGTGGAAATTTTCAAACACTGTCTATATTTCAGAGCAGAAGCACATAGCCAACCTCATTTTCCATTCAATTGTGAGCCATCATTTACATCTGTGAAAAGTGAGTGAAAAATGCTACCAGCATTTTTAACGAATTTCTAATTTCTTCACATAAACATGACATTATAAAACATAAGGAAGCAGAAAAGCTGGTCCTTTGTACTGGCAGGAGCAGGTTTCAGTTCTGGTCCCTCGCGAGCCAAGTTTTTCTTGCCATATTTCTCAGGTAATTAAGTCTGTTTATGGGAAACTGTTCATTTTCCTGTCTGTCCCCTTTTTATAATGATTTTGACCTGAAATACTGTGGTGGGGAGAGGTATCAGCACTGCTATACCTCACTTACAAAACAGCAAACTGAGTCAAAGAAATGATGTGCCACTCAGATAGCTGATATGAGTGTTAATTGAATTCAAAGTTCCTGTTGTCATGCCAGAGACAAACCTCTGACACAGACCCAAGCACTGTTTGCTAACCTACCCTTAGCAGTCCGATGGCATCTGTATCTTCAGCACCTTTGTCTTAATGTGCCCTCTGTGTCCACAGCTGACATGTCACGTCCAGTTCTGTAAAAGTGAACAGTTGGAGGGTTGGCTGAGGGAAAAAGTTTAAATCAAAGGTGTTTATTTATTTAACGAAAGAGCGTAATGTGGAAATACTTCCAAACTAAACCTCTCACTTCATGAACGTTTCTCACCAAAACGTTGGAGTTAACATTAATTTCTAATGCAATTTGAACTGTAGTCCTAGCTCTGCATGTCTGAAATTATGAGCAGTTTCTGAGTTACAGCCATCCCTAACTGTCAGGCATAAGACAGCATCTTTCATGTATTCACTCATTTTATTTGAATTATTAACTTCTGTAAAATGCTCATCATATTTTCTTCTTCCTCCTAGAATTCCTGATCCCTGTGTTGTTACATGAAGGAATTAGGTGTAAAAAATATAGGGAATTATCCAGATCTTAGCCCCATACAGCGCTGAATGTTTCAGCCATTATCCAGCAAAGCACTAAAGCACATATTTAACTTTCAGCACCTCAGGAATCTCATTCCTATCAATGGGTTTCCTCAAGAATTTCAAGGGCCAGGACTCTCAGCATCCTGCTGAATGAGGAGATTTGGATGAGAGGAGTTAGAGCAGTCCCTGTGCACTGTGAGGACCTGCTCCTCTCCTGATCTCTGAAATATCCTGATGTTTTGTGAGGAAGAGAGTGAGAGCCAAGAAGTGTAAGCCTAAATAATTTGCTCCTTTTGATTAGGGGTTGTGCAAAGGCTAACGAGGATTATTACTGCTCCTAGGAGACATAAAAAAGGCAACAAAGAGAAGTCTGTATTTGGATGGCATTGACTTGGAAATACAAAAGGAAAAACTGCAGCTCTGCTGAACAGGGTGGGGTAAAGAACTGAAAAGAATAAAAATACTCAACTTTTCTTGACATGAAATTCAACCATATTTTCCCCAGGAAAAATGAAATGCAATACTGGTAATTTATACAGACTGTTGAACAAATTGAAACCATATACAGAAAATTAAGTTACGTTTTTATGGAAAGAACAGAATATGTTTAACAATCACTACCTAGAGCCAGCAGTCTTCCACTATATAACTTGCAGAGTGTTTTAATTATGCTGAGGTCAGAATGTCTGTTTCCAGTTTTAATTGGTTAAATCAAGATTTTATTGGGTCTGAAAAAAAAAAAAAAAAGAAGTTTTTTTGTTCTTGGATTTATTTTTTAAGCTAATATGAATTAGAAATAAAATATATCTCTGGATTCTTATTATATTTGTGAAAATATCGTTCAATAAGTGGGAATAAAAGAAAAGATGAAACCACTTACTTCAGTAACACATGTGCTTGAATTTCAGTGTTTTGAAAGTTCTTTATTCTTAACCACTGGTTTTCAGCCTAATTTTGTGTTGCATGGCAGCTTGGTTTCTATTACAAAGTGAAGGTTAAAGAGATGGGAGCAGTCTCTTCAACAATGTGTGGCCATGGTCGGCTCCCATTGTAGGAACTGAGTTATATTCTGTCAGTTGTTGGAGAATGGATATTTCTATTGCCTAATTTCAAGTATTGTCTGAATGATAGCCGGAGTGATGTAGATGAATGACATGGATTTTACACTTTGTTTCTTCAAAGAAGTGATGTTTCTATAATTGTGCCTCTTTATTTAATATGGAAAATGGGACTGAAACTGGAAGCTGACAATGTCCCCTTCCTGTGATGGTCTTGTAGAGCAGGTTGAAGAATCACTCTCATTTTCTTCTTTTTGCTCTTCCAATGCATCTTGTTCTGTTTAAAATTCTTTTGCACTAGAGTTTCTCAACCTATGAGAATGTAATTGATTCATAACTGCCTTGTACTGAAGATGCTCTTGTGAGAAGTCATAGGATATGATTTGAAATGTCTTTGGATGGAGGAGAAAAACTGAGTATGTATCCTTTATATCCTGGTTGAAGAGATTAACCACACAGGGGTTATAAAGAGAGACAGACAGTGGAGTAGCATTGGGCTTGTTTGCTCCTGTTAGACAAGAAGAGAAAATAATACCTCTGCTCTGTATGTATGTATGTGTGTATGTATGTATGTATTTATTTATTTATTTAAGGAGAAATGAAGCAATAGCTCAGAAAATGATCCCTAAAATCACGATGAACCTTTCTGTAGGAAGGACTTTGGATGTGCTTTTACATAGTCCTTCTTGCTTCATTCTAGATGGCTCCCTCTCCAAAGAGCAGGCTGTTTTGAATCTCATTCTGAGATGGCTAATACTTCCCTGGCATAATTCTGAGAGTCTGGTCACCTAATACAGGGTTGTGAATGTGGCTTGGACAAAAAATTAGATTTATGATGCTTCATTATTGCAGCTCATAAATCATTTTGTGGCTGTAGCTCAAAAAGACTGTTTTTTTCCTTTATACCTGGTGATTCTCTGAGCTGGATGTTATTTAAGAGGATCAGCGTGGGATACCCTCTAAGAAATAATTTCAATCAAAGTGCCATTTGAGAGGAATGAAGACGTCTCATAGTATTTTATCTGCCATAATTAAGATACGTGTTTGCTCAGATTATGTCCAAGGTATCTAGAAAGACCGAATTCCTTGCAACTGCTCTCTGCAGATCTGAATTATCATTATAAGTTTGAGCCTTTGTACTGATGACCCTATAATTTTGTTAGCAATTATCTCCATTTAGATCAGGTAAAGATAGAGTATAACAATGACTGCATAATCAGAATACCAGTAGCTGAAAGCACACTGATTTGCAGTGATTGTTTTACTCCTTTTCAGCGTTTGGTTGGAAAACTGTGAATGGAAAGTTCCATTATTTCTGCACTATTTATATTAAATGAAAAACTCTTTTTTTTTCCTTTTTTTTCCTTTTCATCCCATTAGGCTCCTAAATACCCAAAAAGATTTAATAAGACTAAAAGGTACATTCATATATTTAACTGTAGCTATTTGAGCTGATGTCCTTGAAGAATATGTGATGATTTTTACAATTATTTTTTTCTGATGATGTATTCCTCCTCTTCTCCTGCAGTGCCTGGCTATTTTTCCAGTCAATATCTAGTGTGCTGCACAGCATCCAAGAGAATTTGCAGGTGAGAATCCATATATCCTGAAATAAAACAGGATTTTTTTTTTTTTTACCATATTAGCTCTATTCCCACTTCACAAAAATAATGATCTTGCTCTTACCCAGTATAGATTGGCCTTACAGAAGCAACATAGCTATCATTATGTGTGTGTGTACATCCCTGAAGGATTCGTAATCATTTCCATTTGTTGATTGGCTGGCATCCATTTGGTTAACCATCATTCAAGTGCAGGGAGACCATGTCGCATGTGAAAGCTGTATTTGAGATGGCAAAACTGCCAGAAATATCCAAGTATGTAACCTGACTATCCAGTTATATTAACAAATGATGATGGTTAGAGTTTGTGATGGTGGAAAAATGAAATGTAGTCCCAATATTTAACTAGTAATACCTTCTAAAATGAACTACACTCCTATATTTCATTTTAATTTGTGTCCCAGTTCTTTCTTATTGGTCTCAGCTTTTGTGCTACTGAATGGTTGTGCTGTTGTGCCTCTCCTGCATAGATAAACACTGGTATCACCATAAAGTGTACTTCATTTCTCCTCTGTCTGAAGCAAATCCTATCTGTGGGTTTATTTCACCATGTCTGTAACATGACCTAGCGTTCATCACATTTGAAATAAATAAAGCTTGGTTTGACATTATCTGCAGCTCATAGCTTGGCACAAAAAAAACCAAGCCAAACCAAACCAAGCCAAAACAAAAAAACCTTGTGGAAAAAGCAGCAAACTGTTCACCCTATCAAGAAAATGGATTGCCATTGATGGCTTTAAATATCACACAGTCACTAATGTGACTCTCATTGTCTACTCACTTAAAAGGAAGGCAATAGATAAACGTTTATTAAAACAGATATATTTATAGTCTTCCTGTTTGCATAAACAGTTTGAAAATTTGACCTCAGTATGGCCTAAAGGCTTTAATCCAGGAAATGAAATGTCCGTATGCATATATTTTTAGACTTCATCATTTTAAGCTGAACTGCAGGATGGTTTTACTCACAATTTTTGAGTGCTTGAGGTTAGCAACACAGCCAGGGTTAGAAATATGATTGGGAATCAATGAGACATCAAAATAAAGAGAATGTGGATGCAATAAGATTATGTGAAGCAACATCTAAGAAGATGTTCATATTCATACTGATAGGAGAAGAGGTCATGGCTTTAAGTTGCACCAGAGGAGGCTCAGGTTGGATATTAGAAAAAAAATTTTATCAAAAAGAGTGGCCATGCATTGGAACAGAGAGTGGCCAGGGAGGCAGTGGGGACAACATCCCTGGAGTTGTTCAAGAAATGTGCAAATATGGGACTGAGAGACATGGTTAGTGGGCATGGTGAGGGTGAGTTGGTGGTCGGTGATTTTGGAGGTCTTCTCCAGACTTAATGATTCTATGATTCTATGGTGTCTAGACTCTATAAACCAAGGTCAGAGAAAGCAACAGCAACAACTGTGAGGAAGTCTGCAGGCAATTAAGGCAGCTGATTTAAAAAAAAAATAGAATCAGAAAGTATGACTGGGAATTTTTACTATGTCATGGGGTGCCTGCTTGTGACTGAGAGTGATCTTTTTAGACAGTGTTGCTGGTTAGATAATCTGAATTTAGTACTATTTTGGTCTTGTGAGTGAACACATGGATTTGAAATTGCAAAATCATGGACATCCTGTTAGTATTAAGTGATATGCAGCATAATCAGCAGATTTGTATTCTGCACAAAATCTTTGTCTTGACTTGTTAAACACCTTGAAGTGAGATGTAAGAGGCAAAAATCACAAGCCCCCTTCTACAGGAGCTGTACACTGCTGTAGGAGATATTACCAAATAAATGAGCAATGGAAATAGGAAAAATATCAATCAGATCTTCTCAGATATCATATAAAGACAAAAGCCTGAACCCCGAAATGCAGTCAAGGAGGAACTCCCTGTGTTTATCAGCGTGAGAAATGGAGACTCCCGTGATGGTGAAGGCTGGAAGATGAGAACTTCAGGCATCAGGAGAAGAGTTCCTGCTCTACTTGCAGAACTGGAGCTACAGAATATGTTACTGCCCTTGTTTTAGGTGATGCATTGGGAGCTCTGTCCAAGAAAACACCTGAATCTGCTGAGCTTGATTCTTGTCAGCACAGGTGAGACACTTCTGAAGTGCAGGTCAGGTTTCCCAGAACTCCAGACATGGGCATATTAGAGCCCAGCAAATGTTAAGAAAGACTGTTAGGGACTGAAGTATCTGACACATAAGGAGAGGTTGAGAAAGTTGGTTTTGTTTGCCCTCAGGAAGAGAAAGCTTGAGAGGGTCTTACCAATGTGTATAATACCTGATGGGAGGATGTAAAGAAGACAGAACCACACTCCTCTGTGCTGCCAACTAGAAAAAAAAGACAGTGGGACAAATGGAAATACATAAGAAATTCCTTTTTTTTCTTGTGAGAGTGGTTAAACAAGGGAAAATATTGCTCAGAGAAGCTGTAAAGTCTCCATTATTGAGACCAGACTGGTCATAGCCCCAGGCAACTTACTCTAGCTGATTGTGCTTTGGGATGGACAGTTAGACTAGATAATCTCCAGAAGCCCCTTCCAAACTCAGCTATTCTATGAGTTCCAGATCTTGAAAATGACATCAGTGATAGCAGGATTTTATTACTTTTTCTTTATGTTTGAGGTTGGATAATTTGATATGCTCACAGGTCGTGGAAGTTCTTCATGACCTACATATGCAGATAAGAATTTTCTAGGAGAGATTCTTGGTATTTTTTCTTCAAGGTGATAAAACAATTGCTCAGTGTCTACTGGCTACTGCGTTGAAAGAAACTGTCAGAAAAATTAGGTATTGACAAATGGCAAATAGAAGGAAGAATGCTTCTGAGCCTCATGGAGTTATGAGAAGTAATGATTCTGTTTTCTTTTTAATGTTCTCTCAGAATCAGAATTTGGGCTGGATATGTGGGATATGGACAGAAGAGCAGCTTCAGAATGACCCGTGTTACTGTGTCACGGAGAAGTGCTGGCTACCATTGCAAAGTATCTGCTCTCTTCCAGTACTATGAATTCTGTAGGATTTCAAGAAAGCTTTTAAAATCCTCAATTTGGGTGAGATATTTTTCCGAGAAAGAAATTTTAACAGAACAATGTGATTAGAGGAATATTTAATAATTCTGATTCCCAGCACTATGGCACTAGCTATGTTCTACCACAAGTTTATTTTTATTTTGTACACAATGGGCTACAGTTTGGTTCAGATACTTTATACCAACATTTGTCTTGGATCAACTGATGTATCTGAAGAACAGGACAGCTTTATGAGACAAACATGTTTTGTCAGTTTCCAGCTGTCTATACTGCTCTTTTTCTTTGCAGAGTATTTTATCATGAAATATGAAATTATGCCTACTGATATTGACAAATATTGTAAGAAAGAATCCATGGATGGACAAGTCACAGCACGTGGCAGTTGTAAGGAAGAAGCTGTGACCACGTTAGTGGTCTAATTTATTCAGTTGATTGAGGTAGAGGTGGGAAAAAAATGCTCCAAATAAGTATCCCTATACTGTCTATAAGGCATGTTTCAAAATGTTTATACTAGAAACAAATCTATGCTTGATGAGCTCCAGATGATTCCACTGATGTTAATACAAAGAAAAAAGCTAGCATCTTCCCTCCTCTGTCCCCTTCCCCTGCCAGAGGTAATCCAGAGATTCTTTCACTGTTAAAGCCATTATGACATATTTTGGAACTAGCAAAACTGAAAATGATTCATCTAGTCTTTCCTATGATGTTTAAAAATGTATTTTGCAGTAGCTCTAAGTACAAGGCGGTTAGAAAACTTTCAGCAATTTATATAAATAAATATTGTAGGAAAAGCCTTTGAAGCGGGAGATCATGACTGAACACATCTGCTTAACAGAACTAAAAGCACAAGGGTTTGAGACCTTTCTCTTCAGCTGTACCAAACAAAACTAAAAAGAAAGACAAGCTTTGCTTTAATGTTTTACTCATAAACTTTTCATTGTTTTGTGTTTTTGTACTTGCATAGCAAAAGGAGTGTAGATAAACAAATGTATCATTTCTTTTAATGGCAAAAGTATTCTGATTTTTACTCAGTGATGTAGCATAAATATTATTTTTGATAGTAAGGCTCCAATTTATTTTTGGCTTAAAAAAGCTGGTATGAGATAGTGTTGAAGAAAAGATCTTTGATTCTTTAATATCAGCCATGAACAAAGCTTTCAAAGGTACTGCATTTTAAACGGTTCAGTATTAATATCCAAGAATCTGATTTTGCTTTGCAAAGACTTGTCTCTTGATCAAAAGAAGAGAGCTCACGAATTAAGAAGTCCTTTCCATCTTGTAATGCTAGGATTCTGTGATTCATTCTATTCTTAGTGGAGCTTGAAACATTTTTCCATTATTATCCAGTCAGTAATGTTGAATAAACTTTCTTAAGCCTAATGGTCTCACTGAAGTATTTTTTGAGCAGACGAAAGGTTAGAAAAGAGAAAACCCAGACCTCAGTAGAGTCTTTCTCTATTGGAGAAATGAGAGATCTATTTTATGACAACTTTTCCTCTTTTTCTACACAAATGGTTTTTTTTTCTTTGGACACTGTATAAATGCTAGACTGTTATAGGATCTGCTATGTTCCTGCCTGCTAAGAAGCCTGTGACTAACTTTGCTCAGAGGAAGATATCTATTCCCAAATGGAAATGACCATCATCAAGCCTACAAGTTTTTGTGCAAGGAAATGGGTGAACTTCCTTTGTGTTGAAAACAGAACAGTACAAGAGTGATGTAGTAACCTGACTTTAGGGAGTTCCACACTTAAAGAAATGAAAAGCCTAATACATGTAAGATCAGGAAAGAGTCAGTTTTACCAACAAACAAAAAAATTTAAACATTTTAAATATGTTTATTGTAAAAAATAGAACAGGGTTAAAAATGAAATTGCAAGCACATTCTAAGTAACGTTATTGCACTAAGGACAGTGGCATCTCAGCTAATTTGTGAAATTGGCTGCCTTCTGCAATTTATGTTGTATTTAACATGTGTTGGAGACTGCTAGAGGTATATTTTCCTTACTGGAATCACTGTGAATTCACTGGAATTCACTGGAATTCACTGACTGCTGTAGGCAATTCTGCAGACCAAAGTGGAATGATTGAAAATTGGAACAATTTAAGCAATTGCTCTTTTTAAAATTCTTGTGCTGGAGTGCTGAAGATCACATCTTAGCTCCTGGTTCAAGTCTCTAACTGGAACCAGGTAAACATCAATTGGGCATCTCTCAGGGGAAATGTCTCCTTTGACAATGTCCCTGCCTACTAAAAATGCATTTGATACGTTCATCTACTAACATTCTACATTTGGATGGAATGGAGGTATGAAATGATAAGCATTCAGAGGATCAGATTAGTTGTTAACCTCTTTAGAAAGTAACGAAGAAGAAGGTTTTGATGTAGAAGGTTATGGTAGACAGTGATTTTAAAGGATTTCAGTGTATCTACGTATAATAGGAAGATAAAAAAATTCTCTTGGACAAATATATTAGAAACATGAAGAAAATATTCAAGAGACTGAGCAAAAGTGGACCTGATGGTACTTGATGCAGCTTACCGTATAGTTGGCAGGTTGGTTGCAATTCATTTCAATGAATTTAGATTTTTTAGCTCTGAACCTATATTAGGCTTACTTTAAGCTGTACAAAGACTTAACAAATTCATGTTATTGGCTAAGAAACAGTAAAAGAAGCACTGCAAAAGTGCTCAATTTAGCAAAAACATCAGCAAAGTAGGAAAAAGTGGTAAACAGAAACAAATTAGACTGGAAACAAATGTAAGAGAAATCTTAGAAAGTCTCAGATCTCAGTGAATGATAGCCTTGTAGGTAAAATTGTGTTTCTACAAGTGTGAAAGCAATGGACAAGCTGGACTGGTGCCTGCACAGAGACAATGAAGGAGTAAGATGTGAAAATGATGGAAAATGTGAAAAGGATGCATCAACAATTTTTGGAACAGTATCTAAACTGCTTGGAATTGGAATTTTGTGATCTATTAGAATTGGATCTATGATCATGTCTGTTTAACAATACACTCCTAGTGAGAGTATGGAGGAACGCTGTCTTCACACCCGTATGCAAGATGCCAAAAATGCATGTGTCAACTTTGAATATATTGGAAATACTTCACTAGGGATAGGATTGTACATAAGAGGTGACTTTCAGAATTGTGCAGTAGTGTATGTTGAAGGCCTGGTAAAAGACCAAACCATGAATTAATATCAAACTTATGATTAATAGAAGCATAATGACATGGAAAATAAATTCAATATACAAGTGTTTAAACGAAGAAAATCAAGAAGGGAAACAAGTGACCTGAAATACAGCATAATTTTAATGTTGCATGTTACATGGGAAACAATGTGGAGAAAGGAATAAAGAAAAATGCCCAATCTTTAGTTAGTAAAAACAATAATGGGGAAATAACATTTTTATCCTTTACAATCATTCTATCTCAAGAAGAAAAAGGGAAGTAACAATCACTATGAAAATCTCTAGCAAAGGAAAGAGTAATCACAGTGTATCTTTAGAAGACTAAGAGACTTTGAGAATAAACTTTTCCAGAATTCTATTTATTTCATTTTTATGTTTGCAACTACGCTGTTAGACCAACGATTACGTTCAGTTGCTGTTGGTTTATGGAGCCAGATGAAATGAAGTGCCAAGAACACCTGTAAAAAGCAACATGAGAGTGGAGAAATGAGGCCAAGTGTTGTTCATCTACAATAAACTCATTTAGGAGCCAGTGGACAAATACTGACTCTTAGTAAGAAGCCCATGAACCAGCAGACAAGGAAACCAAGGAAATGAAACACCTGGAGTCAAGATGAAGGTAGACATAGATTCTCATATAGTCTGTAAAACAACAAGAACACAGAAAGTTTCCGTAATTAAAAAAGATGGAATCATATGCCTACAAAAAAGGGCTTAATATTGATCCTTGAAATTTTCAATGCAGCTGTCTTGAACTCACTAGAAATCTTACAAGTAGTTTGAGAGTTTGCGATGCCATAAAGTCATTTAATAGAGATTCACTGTCTCTGCCTATGACATATTCTTCAATGAAGGTAGGATAAAAATGTTCATTTTTCAATGTTATGTCTTTTGGCAGAATATTGAAAGATATAGCTGCAGCTGAGAAGTAACTCGGACTGTGGTGTAATAGCTCACTAGCACTAAGTCAGCAAAAGTGTAATATCTGAAAGCTTACAAAGAGGAGGATGAAACCCCTTATAACTTACATACATTGAGTTGTAAGGGATTTAGAAAAGCTTCTATAGGTTATTGAGGAAACCAGTGGAAAAATGGTTATGAATAGAATCTGGTAGTTTATGGGGATGGCCAGAAACTTTTCTGAATTTAGTTCAGATCTATGAATGAAGAAGATAATGCTGTCTGTATAGAGTCATGGGCTCAAATCCCAGATAATTCAAAGAAAAAAAAATCATTACCATGATGTGATCCTATAAAACTACTGTGCTGCAGAATGATTGAAGTGAAAGTGTAATATTCAAAGGCAAATTAGGAGAAATATTCACCTAAAACTAGCAGACCAAAGCTGTTGCTAGTAGATACCTTAATATGATCAGAAAATTCATCTGGAATAATTTTATAATTTGAGCAGAAATCTTATGTAATTAGAAAAATGCTTTAAAAAATGCCAATATTATATATGAGTAGTTGTCATACATGCTTTTCAGACTTTCATACTGCAAGGTTAGAAAAGAAGTTACTCCAGATTGCCACTTATGGTGGAAAGAGTGTAGGGTGGGACATGGAGAGTGCAGCGCATCATGAAATAACGTTATCAATACTTGATAATGAATCTGAAAGACTGAAAACCACAGGAGAATGGAGACATTCAGCCAGAGGCTCTGAGAAAGGACGAGGAAGAGTTTGAGTATCACTAGGCTTCATGCAGGAGAAATATAAAAAGATAAAACAAAGTACTGCTTGGGCAACACCAAATACCTTGAAGGTGTAGACTATGTCACTCCTACTGATAGTAGCACAGACATTAAACCCTTTAAAGACTATCAGACTGGGAGAACTGTGATGATTAAATATATGCAATGTCAATAGGCATTGCATCTTCCAGTAAACTGTAGTCCCAATAATGTATCAAACACTTGAAAAAAAAAAAAAAACACCATAGAGAATGCAGTATTTAAAAGGAAAGTAACTAATATGGAGCCTAGATATATCAAGAAGTTTTAGTTTTAGTCTCAGCAGGACTCAGCTGGAAGGCAATCTTTATGTGACTGGACAGATAGTTATGGTTCTAACCCTGATATAAATGAAACACATATCTAGATTTTACATTATGAGACTTTTTAGAGTATTCATCAACATAAGATGATACAAACTTAGGTTTTATCTTTCTAATTTTTTTTTCATTTCCATTTGCTGAAATAAATACCATTATTCAACAGGAAGAACTGCTGATGGTTTGGTGGAAATTTCTTTTTTTACAGGGACTTGAGAAATTTTCCAGAACCTACTCCAGGCTATTCTATTGATATTTTGAATTCCTCAGAGGCTGTAAGAAGGGATTAACTGCTGGATGATATCCACATGAGAGACCATGAACACTACAACTTGAAGGCTTTTGCAGCATAATAATCTGTGGAAATGTCATCTGAAAAGCTGAGATAATGTCTGAAATTTGCCAATGGGCAAGAATACTGTATCTGGGGATGTAAAAAAGATAGGCTTGAGCCTGATTATAAGAATTCAAGATATATGGAATTGAATCTGAATAGAGAGACTTGTGGCTCTTTGGCTTACATCTTGCAGGAGATAAGCACTTGCTGACCTTCAGTCCCTCAGTGCTCTTCTGCCCAGACTTTTCATGAACTTGAATGTTTGTTTCTTGACCTTGAGACCTAGCTCAGCAAGGAGCTTTAGAAAAAGTTGAATTGGATCTGTTGTTATGATGATCTTTTCATGAATAATTTTTTGGCAAGCTTAGTGTAAATCTGGATGCTGTTCATGGGCTGTTAGTATTGCAAGGTTCTGAGGAAAAATCACTGATTCTGTGAGAAGAGCAAATGGCAATGTGCTGTCAAAGGTATGTTCTTATCTGCAAAACAAATATTTTGGTGAGCTGCATAGACAGTTTGCAAGTCAAGAACTGCAGAATGGTATTATGGAAAATACATTGAGTTTCTGTTCCCTCGTAGTTCTTCCATCCACTATAGATAACTGCTCAGAAGATACTAGCATATGTAATATATTAGCTATGTTTTCTTTAGTTTTGGGCACTAAGTCCCTAGGAAAATATCAGTGTAGCTCTGTGAACTCTGTCAAACTAAGGCCAAATGGTTATTTCAGGAATTAGACATAGTGGGACATCAGGATGTACATAACTGCAGAGTCTTGCCAGTCTATATCGTTCTTGAACTTAAGTGTCTAAAATGGTAGATAGTACACCTGCTGATGCCT